AGAGAGGAAAGGAAGGAAGGAAAAGAAGGAAGGAAGGGAAGGGAAGGAAGGAAGAAAGGAAAGAAAGAAAGAAAGAAAGAAAGAAAGAAAGAAAGAAAGAAAGAAAGAAAGAAAGAAAGAAAGAGCACAGGAATAGAGGAAGGAAGGGCGGGAGGGAGGAAGGAAAAGAAAGAAGGGAGGGAGAGAGGAAGAGAGGAAAGGAAGGAAGGAAAAGAAGGAAGGAAGGAAGGAAGGAAGGAAGGAAGGAAGGAAGGAAGGAAGGAAGGAAGGAAGGAAGGAAGGAAGGAAGGAAAACTGTATTGGCCAAGTGTGATAGACACACAAGGAATTAGAGGAGGGAGATGAAGGTCCATCTTTAGACTGGGTTCACACAATACATTAAACCCCGAACCTACATTAATTCAATACAGTTACTGTATTCATGTAACATGGTTCCTACTTTATGCTAAGGACAATAGTAGCTGAAGGACCAACCCTAAGTTTCCCAGCGCCATTTTAGCTAGTCTATGATGTTGTATGAAACCAACTTCAGTGATAGTCTGCAAAGATTCTCAGTTGTCCCAAAGGTGCTTTTTTCAGGAAGCAACTGGACTTTCTTGTTTTGTTTTGTTTTTGAAGACGTTTCGCTTCTCATCCAAGAAGCTTCTTCAGTTCTGGATGGATTCCCCACTTCCTTTCCCCACTATCCAGTCAGAGCTGAAGAAGCTTCTTGGATGAGAAGTGAAATGTCTTCAAAAGAAAAAACTAGAAAGTCCAGTTGCCTCTTGGGGAAAAAAGCACCTTTGGGACAACTTCAGTGATGTTTTTTTAAATAATTTTTTATTTTATTCAAAATACAAAAGCAAAGCAAAATTTAGTCAACACAAAAGTAGACAAAACATGTAAAAATGTGAATTAAAAGGGCAAAAATCAAAAGCACATTTTCCCTCCTACTTAAACACTTGACAGATACAGTATATTCCAACAATAATAGCTTCTTCTTGCAAAACAGGGTCCAAGATTTATAAACTTCGATATCTATTTGCAACCCCATCTGACCAGTCATACATTGTTTGTGTGTGTGTGTGTGTGTGTGTGTGTGTGTGTATGAAGAAAAAATAGTTAACAGGTTAAACAAAAAAAAAGATAAAGATCACGGGCCCTGTGTTAACAATCTGTTATTTTAATTTACTCATAGAAAGTTTACAATTTTGGAGGTCTCCAAAGTTGGCAATTTTAAGACTTATGGACTTTAATTCCCAGAATTTTCCAACCAGCTGGCTGGAGAATTCTGGGAGTTGAAATCCGCAAATCTTAAAGTTGCCAACTTTGGAGACCTCTGGTCTGCAAGGTTTCTTACCTACCACAAATCACCCCAATGAACCTCAACAATATTTATTACACAGTCTTCTTCCTCAATGATGCTCTCGTGTATTGGAACTGCAACTCAAAAGGAGGAGCATACTGATTGGGGGAATTCTCTAAACCTCCAGAACATCTGGAGTTCTGGGAAATGGTATCTTTAGACAGGCCTGAAGAAGTTCAAGTTGAGAAACACGAATTTGACTACTGCTCAAGCTGGATCCTTGCTGAGGGGGTAACATTGAGATTGTATAATAATTTTCAGGAAAGAATCCTTTGGTGAACCAAGTCACCAAAATGCCATTCTACCAGAATAGAGAACTACTTTGGTCTAAAGAAAAGAAGAATTAGGGGTGACGTGATAGCAGTATTTCAATATTTGAGGGGCTGCCACAAAGAAGAGGGGGTCAAATTATTCTCCAAAGCGCTGGATGGCAGGACAAGAAACAATAAATGGAAACTAATCAACTTTGAATTAAGGAGAAACTTCCTAACAGGGAGGACAATTAACCAGTGGAATAGAAGTTGCTCCCAGAAGTTGCGGAGGTTTTTAAGAAGAGACTGGACAGGCACTTGTCTGAAATGGTATAGGGTATCCTGCTTGAGCAGGGGGCTGGACTAGAAGACCTCCAAGGTCCCTTCCAGCTCATTCTATTCTATTCCTATTCATCTTTCCATCCTCAAGACTAATGTTCAAATATCCCCATTTAGTCAGGAAAGTCCAGGAGTGACCTTGGGTGGGGCCAGGCCAAGCCATCGTCTTAAAGTTTTGAGCCACAATTCAGTTCCCCAACCTTCCCAAGGACCACAGAAGGGTGGGGTGAGAGCAGAAGGCCTCCCAGAAACAAAGAATTTCCTTCCCACCCTTAAAATCACTCCCTATCCCCCACAACCCCAAAAAAGTCTATATGTTGAAATCTAGATGCAGGCCCATCACCTACTCCAAGGGTCTTCAAACTTGGCTAGTTTAAGACTTCTGGACACGGATAGGATTCTATCTGGTCAGACCAGTTCTATAGAACCAGTTGTTACAATTCTGCGCAGTTCAGAGAACCGGCAAATTGTGCCTCTGGCTGGTCCCGCCCCATCCCGGCCACTCACTTTTTACCTGGCATGTGCGCCATCAAACTTGCCTGCTAAGTTGCTATTTTTCCTTTTTTTCCTCCAACCATCAGCTTTTCCGCAGTGCGGGGAGATTTAGATTAGCTAGAAAGCAAGAAATCGTTGGAATTCTTGTTTTCTAGCTAATCTAAAAGCAGAGCTGAATCTTCCTTAGGACTGAAGTTGCTATTTTTTAGTTCAGACTCAGATAGCAGATTGCAGAAAGATAGAGCTCTGAGTGAATCTGTGATTCTGTGAGCAACTCAATCCGCCTGCCTGCTTTGCCTGATTTTGGGTAAAAGTTGCTCTTTTTTAATAAAAAAAAAAATCAATATTTACATAAATATTTATAATATTTACATAGAAGCCATGCCCAGCCAGTCACATGACCACCAAACCACACCCACAAATTAGGCCACGCCCACAGAACCAGTTGTTAAGAAATTTGAATCCCACCCCTGCTTGTGAACTTCAACTCCCAGAATTCCTGAGCTAACATGACTGGAGGAGGAATTCTGGGAGTTGAAGTCCACAAGTCTTAAAGCTGTCAAGTTTGAAGACCTCTGACCTACTCACTCTGGTCTTGGCCAACACTGTTTAGGAGAATCTTAATCATAATGTAGGTAAAATTATACAAATAATCCTTGATTTACACTCACCATTGAACCCCAAAATTTCCTTGCTAAGCAAGGCAGTTGTTAAGCCAGTTGTGTCCCATTTTATGACCCCTTTTTGCCACAGATGTTAACCTAGCCATTATGGTTTATTTAAGAACGGTTACAACAATCCATGATTCAGAACAACACATAAACCCACTTACAGTGCTTAGCCGTTTTCTCTCCTCCATCCATTCTTCCTAACAGCTTACTTACTGTAACAATTCATCCATGGATTTCATATATTAAAAACAAATATTAAGTACTAGAAGAATTTGCTGTGGTATTTTATTGTG